AAGTCCGGGTGACGAACCAAACCCTCAAACGCCATCAGGAGAGCAGAGGCCAGCAGTCTCGAGTCCACTTTACTCCTTCATGATGAAGTTGTAGCTGCATGCAACCTCGCCAAGGGATCTCAAACAGGAGCCGGCGGTTTGTAATCCCAGGAGACGTGAGTTACTTCAAAAGGATGATGGTACAGATGGGAGGAGGAGGAGGAGGAGGAGGAGGAGGAGGAGGAGGAGGAGGAGGAGGAGGAGGAGGAGGAGGAGGAGGAGGAGAGCAGACAGTAGATCTCGCTGGAGGCAACCTTGGGCGGACTGTCCTGCATGTCGCAGCGGCAAGCGGCCATGAAGAGCTTGTCTCCTTCCTCTGCCACGAGCTGCATGCTCAGGTGAACAAGGCGGATCGAACAGGACGGACGGCGCTATGGCATGCTGTGCATGCGAGGCAAGCGGCAGTTGCCATGCAACTGATCAACGCAAGTGCTGACGTGAACATGGCGGACATCGACGGGAACTCGGCGCTGCATATTGCCGTGAAGGCGCAGGAGGAGGAGCTGGTGGAGTACCTGTTGGATGCTGGAGCAAGTCCAGCATTGAAGAACAAGGAAGGGAAGACGCCCATGGACGTCAGCGAGGAGGGTGCAGGGTTGAAGATGAAAATGATGGGGTACCTGCAGTTTGAGGCGGAGCTTCACCGGGCAAGGACGGAGAAGATGGCTGTCTGTTTGGTTGGGGAGGGCAAGAGGGAGTTGTCAGGAGAGGTCTCGATGGCGTTTTCTTCACGAGCTCAGTCAGTACATGTTGTTTTTGATAATGACGACGACGATGATGATGATGATGATGACGATGATGATGATGATGATGATGGTGATGATGGAGATGATGATGATGATGATGATGATGATGATGATAATGATGATGATGATGATGATGATGATGATGATGATGGCGATGATGTTGTGAGGAGGGTGACAAGTTGCTGTTAGGGGTTGGTTTCTTCTCGGGCTATATGATGAAGACGAGCAGAAGTGCGAAGTGAAGTTGAGTCGAGACGGTTTCCGAAGTTTTTCTTCCTCGAGGAAGTTTCCTCCTCTTGCTTCTTGCTCGGTCACAAGGTACTCCTCATCATATGACTGTGATGCAACGAAATTGAAATGGTTGTAATGGGTTGCACTTTACACGTTGATGTCGTTGTCTGGAAGGTTCATACTTCGCTTGTTTGCTGTCATGTAGTGTTATGAACAAATTCTACATAACTGCTGTGATTCAACATCCTTGACATTTTTTTCACTCAGTGCAGGAACATGCATCATAGCGCAGGCAGATGGAAAGGTGTACATCAGTCAAGATGGTCTGAAAAACGTGGAATGTGCGCAAGAATGTAAGAAGGGAGACAGGTAAAATCTTTGATGTCTGTAGCAACAACAGCTCAAAGAACATCTCAGGATACACGACATGTCAAGTCTGTCATCAAACAGCAAACTGTACATTGTTGACTCATCCCACATGTACTTTTGGGACGAAACTCCGACCTCTGTGTCTGTGCATGGGGATGAAGAATCACTCGTGTTGAAGATGTATTGTTCAAGGAACGGTGGGAGGTCATTTTCACTCGTTGAGTTGTTCATCATGCAAGCATTGCAAAACGGTGAAAATGAGAGTGAATGCCGTATGATGGATGTGGGCTTCGGTGGGAAGGAAAACGAGCTGGGTTGTGTTCTTGTACAAACAGGACAAGGAAGGTCGTTTCTTGTTTTGAGCGAGGACAACGGCAGAAACTGGAAGGCTTTACAACCGGACAAGATTGATGGGGGCAGTCAGAAGGAAAACGTAGAAAGCAGGAGCGAGGAGGGTAAACATTCATCATCTGTTGCCTTCACATTCACCAACAAACACTTGCTTTCGCATACTCTACCTGAGACATTTTTCTCAGAATCAGTCGAGGGTTTCAAGATTGAGCACGGGAGCATCTTGCAAGAATATTCAAGAGATCGTGAGGTTTGTTGATTGTTTTCCATCCAACGGCTCGTGTCCTCACTTGTATTGCTACAGTATTTCAATTTCGACGAGGCTGAATCTGCTCTTTGGGGTGAGGACAACGACGGAGAGTTGAGGTATCGGAATGGCGAGTCAAAGATTGAAAATTTGATGAGATGTTTCGCCTTCAAATAGATTGCTTTCTCGCATATCGGAGAAATTGTTGGAGTTTCTGGACTTGCTGGAATGTAGAAGAAGAGAGTTGCAGTTTGACATTCATGTGATCTTTTTTGTTCATCCTGTTTGAAGTTTCAACTAAGAACTTGACGGTTCAGAGGTGCTCCCTTCGTGCGAAGGAGGAAGGGAGCGGTGGAGGGAAAGAAACAGGAAAGTGGATAATGAAGAAGAAGGAATTTGTGGAGAATGAAGAAAGATTGCAGAGGCAAGGTGATTGTTTGTAATCGCAAGTGGCAATGATGGATGATGGTAGATTTTTGCAACGCGTGAAGGAGAAATGTGAGAGAAATCTGGAGGGACTACGGAAGATAGCAGAATTGAACAACATGTCGATTGAGGTTTGTCACATCTTTTATATGATGTTGGTGATTGACATGGGTGAATCCAGGAAGTCGATAGAAATCTTACGAGCAAGAGGACTGATGTGGAAGAGTAAGATAAAACTTCTGTTGATGGTGCTTGCGCTGATGATGTCTCTGCAGCAAAGACAAGCAGAACAGGAGACGATCGATCCTTAAAGAAATCGACAAGCTTGAGATCAGCAAGACACGTTGTGTTGAAAAGAAGAAGGAAATTGAGAATGTATGTTATCGCAGATTGGATCATCATCTCCCTCCTCCTGCTCCTGCTCCTGCTCCTGCTCCTGCTCCTGCTCCTCCTGCTCCTCCTGCTCCTCCTGCTCCTCCTGCTCCTGCTCCTGCTCCTGCTCCTCCTGCTCCTCCTGCTCCTCCTGCTCCTCCTGCTCCTCCTGCTCCTCCTGCTCCTCCTGCTCCTCCTCCGCTCCTTCCAGCTCCTCCAGCTCCTCCAGCTCCTCCTGCTCCTCCTCCATCATCAGTTTTTCATCATCATTATCATCTCCATCATCATTGTCATCACTTTCGTTCCAGGATGAGGCGCAAGAGAAAATCGTGATGGAGCGAATTACACAACAAAGAATTGACGAATCGTAACAGCAGCTTGATTTTGTCATTTGCAAACAACTCAATGATGTTCCAATTTAGGTGGGGAGGTTGTTATGAACATGGACGGAGGCAGATCGCAACAAGTTTACTGTGTTGCGGTTATTTCCTGGAACATGTTTGCGTTGCGGACGATGGGACTTTGCTCGTTGCTGGTGCGTTTGCTGCGCGATTTTCCATCTCAGCACCTCATTCAGTTGAGCAGGAGCTGGAGGTGTACAAAGAAGCGAAGATCAAGGTAATGGAGGAGGAGGAGGAGGAGGAGCAGCAGCATGAAGAGCAGGAGGAGCAGGAGCAGGAGCAGGAGCAGGAGCAGGAGCAGGAGCAGCAGGAGCAGAAGCAGGAGCAGGAGCAGGAGCAGGAGCAGGAGCAGGAGCAGGAGCAGGAGGAGCAGCAGCAGCAGCAGGAGCAGCAGGAGCAGCAGCAGCAGCAGCAGGAAGAGGAGTAGGACTAGAGACAGAAGCAGGAGCAGGAGGAATCGTTCATGCTTCTTATGCCTAAGATCCCTCAGGTTTGAGTTGGTCAAGAACATTCAAATTGGATGTTGACCAAACAATCGATCGTCTTGTGAGAGTGAGTTGAACTGATTACTTCAATGCCGCTGCTACTCCTCCTCCTCCTCCTCCTCCTCCTTCGCCTCCTCCTCTTGATCATCATCATCGCCATCATCATCGCCATCATCATCGCCATCATCATCATCATCATCATCATCATCATCATCATCATCATCATCATCATCATCATCATCATCATCATCATCGCCATCATAATCATCAATTCTACTTGCTTCCCATCCTCCCCGTTGAAGTCCATTTCTCTCACTTTGTTCAGGTTGGTAATACCATCTTCATCCTCTTCAACGGCAGAATCTTCAAATCGTCGAACTCAGGGCGCACATGGGAAAATCTTCAAAACATTCACCCCCACAACGTTGCTGTGAGTATTTTATCTTCTTGAGCTTGCAAAGAAGCTACAAACGAGGGGAAAGAGCTAACAGACACAAACACAACAGGCCTCGGACATCATTGACTTCTGCGAAGAGTCCCGAGGGTTTGTAGCTGACCATGGAAACAACATGTTGTTCTCATGTCTATTTGCAACTGAGCGTTTGACATTCCGCTGTCAGATACATGACGGACGATGGAGGTGTGAGCTGGGAAAAGGTGTTCAACAGATCAGCTGGACTGAAGCTGAGAAAGTCTCTCTTCTCTGTAACAGGGTATGCTGGGAAATCGAGGTAAACTTATGCAGCTAAAGAATTTTAGATGTGCCATTAGATCGTATGATTTATAGTTTGAGATGAAAAGAATTTTGTGATTTTACGTCTCTGAGGTTGACATGTGTCAAGTCACGAAAAGTGAATTGATATTCTTCAATGGCGTATGAGAGGAACTTGAATATGATTGATTGATCTTGCAATCATTTCAACTCACGTTTGCATGTCGTGATGATGTCAAAACCCTCTTCCATCTTCTCAAATTTCAAAAGATTTCCATCACTTCTCATCCATCATTTCATGGTTGTCTTCCCCAGCTGCAATATGCCTCAAACCCCTCACTAACGACATGACACGGCTTCTCAAGTCCTTTCGTTTCTGAACACTGAGCAAACAGTTTATCGATCCCTTCAACTTCCACTACAACATCTCGATCTCATTCTATTATTCTCCCTTCCTGCTCTCTTTCCCCTCCTATCATCACCAGATTCACATCCTCCCCTCCTCACCACCACCATCACCAATCTTTCACTAGTTTATGATAACACATCTCACTGTCTACGCATACTGTCCAAGCTGCCCGGTCGTGACTGTCGGAACGTACCCGGGCTGCTGGTAGTCACCTGGGGTCTGCACGAAGGCAGCAGGCTCGCCTCCGTACTTCTCCTGCTGGGGAGCTGGGAGGTACAACTGCTGGGGAGCTGCTGGCTTCTGATGCATGATGGTTATGGCCACGAGGAGCCCAGCGACGAAGGTGAAGGCAGTGAAGACCTGAGTCAGGAGTTAAGAAGAAGCACAACAAAGAGGACGGGAGGGAGGGAGGGCGAGAGGGAGGGAGGGAGGGAGGGGAGGGAAGGAAGAGAAGAGATGAGGAAGAAAGATAAAAACGATGGTGAAAGGAGAAGGAGACAAGGAGATCCGAAGGGGAGGGAGAAGGTGACAGAAGGGAGGGAAGGAGGAGCAGACGAAGGGGAGGGAGCATGCGATGAAGAGGAGGGAGACGTAGAGAGGGTTGTAGGTACCGCAATGGCGATGAGAGCACGGGAGCCAACGTCGACCGCGGGCTGCTTGATCTCCTTGGACGTCCAGGACACCCACTCGTTGCTGATGCAGATCTGCCTAGGTCCCTTGTTGTCGGTGGCAGTACATCGCTCCTGCCCGTCCCTGAAGTACAGGCGTCAGATGAGGAGGAGGGATCAGGACGAGCTGGAGGAGGACGACCAGGGAAGGGAGACAGAGGAAGAGCAAGAGGAGGAAAACAGAGTAGGAGGAGAACGAGAAGAGAAACAGGACGAGGTAGAGGAGGGAGGAGGATCAGGAGGCTCATTAAGGAGCAGGAGGAGCAAAAGAAAAAGATGGAGCAGGAGATATATTTCGGAAGGGGAGGAGGAGATCCGTACAAGCAAATCTTGCAGTCGGTCTGGGTGCAGTGGCCGGTGTAGTCGATAGGAGGAGAGATGAAGTGGAAGGAGAAGTAGTCCATGGTCACTTTGAACTCTCCCGTCGTCGAGCACTGTGGCTTCACCTGCCGACCGGAATCGTCACTCACTCTCCTGCCTCCCCCCCCGCCCCCCCTCCTCCTGTCGCTGTTCCTCTCCCCCTTTCCTCCTATTACCTCCAATTCCATGACCATGTCCATGCAAGTTCCGTTGTTCCGGCAGTTACGAGCTGCGTTTACCAGGCAGTCGACGCATGTGGGCCTGCATCACATTATCAGCACACCCCCACCTACCCTCTAGCTGTCTGCTACCTGCAGTAAGTGTCTGGAACAGTCGAGGACCATAGGGGCTTTGTTGCATCGTTTGTCTGTGTTTGGACGGCGGTAGTAGGGCAAAAGTAGCCGTCGGTGATAGGAGAAGACGCAGTTTGAACATCATTAGTTCCAGGATTGCTTGGCGGCAAGGTACAAGGTTTGCACTCTCCTTGTACTGTATCTGAAGAGCAGCCTGAAGAGAAAGGGTTTAGTCCTCGCTCTCACTCCCTCCTACTTCCCCCACACCCTTCCTCGCATAAACTCCCATTCCTGCTTTTCCTCTCTCTTCCCACCGTTAGCATTTTTGACGCAAGCCTTGCAGGTATTCAAGCAGGAGCAGAACTTCTGGACAGTGGCATCCGAACTAGTACCCTGCTATTGTCAGATGGCCGACACTGTACTGCAAGGGCCTCACCGTGCAGGAAGCAGCGTTGTAGGTACTCCCGCCCATCATGTAGAGTGGCTGGCAGGCCTCCACGCAATCTCTGTAGGAGGTTTCGAAGGATCCACAAGCGCGACTGTGCGTAGCGAACGCGGAGGTATCCTAACCAAGTTTAGCGCTCACAGAGACATGGTCGGGACTGCTCCCTCACCTTGCAGCAGAAGCTGTCGGTGTGGGTCAACGAGTCTTTGACATACTGACAAGACGGGTAGGCCGTGAGATTTCGGTAAGCCACGTGCTGTTCCAAAGGGTGAGAACATCCTGACAGAAAGGAAGAAAGACAGAAACTCACAGGAACGCAGGTAGCTGGAGTGTTGTACAGGCCTCCTGTGGACATGGCGGTGGAGTTCAGATACACAGCGTTCGATGCCAGGAACGCCTCAGGCTTATTGCCCATGACTACCGCACGGTAGAACGCGGGAGCCCAAGAGTTTACTCGGCCACAGTACCTGTCTGAGGATTCGAGAAGAGTCAGGTCGCCATGGCATGCGGAAGCTACATCCTCGTCCTACCTTCTGCCTCCTTGGGCCATCCCGATGGGACACGATTGTCGATGTACAAGACCTTTGAGGTATCGCTGGCAGAGGTCACTGGCACAGTCGTGTTGACCCTCATGACGTAAGCGCTCTTGTCAAGGGAGGTGTCGCAGTTGGACTTGGGAAGGTCGTAGCTCTTGCACTTGGAGCGGAGGGGGAGGCCCTCGAACTGCTTCGCATACACCATCATGGTGAGCTTCCTTCCGGGGGTGAGGCCAGTGCCAGTGTTGTTGGACGTCAGGTTGTAGGGGATCACAACAGGGTTCTTGTTGTCGATGCCGCAGTACTCGTTGACGCCGCAGTCGCAGTCGGAGATGCACTGCACGCAGAGACCGAACTTGCGCGGCCTTGTCTCATCCGCTGGCTTGCTCCAACCTCGGGACTGAGTGTTGTCCTTGTACGTGTTGTCAGTGAAGAAGTACTGGCAGTAGGGAGCTTCTTCTGAGCGGCATTCCTCAGCCGAGTAGCAGAGCTGGCCGTAGTCAGCAGCGAGAGCGTTGTGGGAGAGGAGGAGGAGGAGGAGGACGGAGGACAGCCCCATCAGGGACGAGCGACTCCGCATGGTGGGGGAGAACGAACGTGTTAGCGTTGGGTAAGAGATGCTTTGAAAAAGGGAATCCCGCAGGGGGAATGGAGGGGTGGGGGTACACAGACGGTGGGTGGGGGTACCTAGGAATCAGGTCAGAGCCTGGTGATTCCCTTGAATTTTGCTCGGTGGTAAAATTGCTTTGGGGGGTAGGGGTGATATGGTTATTCGAGGGTGGTAACGGTACTTCAATGCCCCCGTCAGAGTGGGGTGGTGGTCCGAAAGGGACGGGTCCATTTCAGATTCCCTAGCAGCAGATTACAGGGGTAGTGTTTACTTTCTGACCCGTCGGCAGCTGGTTTGAAGGAACGAGACATCACTGAAGTTCATTATTAGTGAGTACCCCTTCCAAGTAGCAAATTTCGCCTCTCAAAAGATTGGGTGGGGTCATGGACTACCCCACCCTGGGATTCTAGCTTGGTCGTAACGGCTCTATGGGGTGAAGGGCGGGGCCGTGTGGCTTCCAGGACGGGTCCAAAGATACATTGCATTGGGTAGCGTTAGGAAAGGTAGGGTAGTTTATGGTAGTTTAGTGGGGTCCTCTCGGGTTCAGGGGTACACATCTGGGAGAGGCGATCCACGACTTCGGAAGATCGGGGCGTTTGAAAAGTTGATAACCCCTACCTCCCTTTTCAGACTCAACCTCCTTGGAATTTGAGGTAGGGTACGGGTAAGGAGGGGGTGATATGAATTCATGGGTGGGGATGCTCGAAGTGACTTTCTACCCCCACTTCATAGTAGTAGAAGGGGTGGGGTGCAAGAGAAAGTTGATTGCACTTTTCAAGTCTCCTATTTTTAAATGTTGTACCAATGAAGAAAAAACAATTTTTAAAAGCACTTATTGATAGTATGCCCTCGAAAAAAACTCTTTCCAGAGCCCCAGGGCAAAGTACGTACTCTGGAGGTCACATGAATGCGACTTTTGAACTCCTCAGCGTCAAAATCTTGACAAGTGGATTCACGACTCCCCGGCCCAGCCAGACCGAAGGGAGTCGAGCTTGAGGCTGTGGCCCCGCCGTTAGCTGGTCAAGTTGTCAACTTTTCCCCTGACGGACTTCAAAGTTTGTTCACTGTCACATCTTTTACTCAAGGTTAAGTGAAATCACCAGTTCACCTGCGGTACCGTACCACGGCAGTACACAGAGGGGGGTGGTAGGATCTTGCTAATAACCCCACAGCCTGGCAGCCGCCCACGCGCTCACGGGGGTTTGAGCCTCATCACCGTACGGTACCGGGTAGACTGTACTATGAGCCCTTTACTCAAAGTTAAGAGCCGCTAGCAGCTTAATACCACTTGACTTATTTGACCGTTTTGGGTATCACACTTTTTCTTCGTGACTTTTTTGACGTATTACACTTTTCCTTCGTGACTCAACTATGAACAACATTGCCTTCTTATCTCTATCACTTTCCCTTATCATTCTCGTCAGGCTTTCACATGATTTCAGCAAGGGGGCGGAAAGGCATGGCGCAGCCTTGCCGCGGGAGCTTGCTCCCCCCTTGGTGACCAATGGCCGTTCTTCCCTTCTGCCGTTCTGCCGTTCTGCACGGTGACCCCGGAGCACCCTACCGATGACCTGAACCGAATAAAAAGAAAACAATCATCATTGATGAAACTCTGCCGTTCTGCACAGTGCTCTTTGAGCACACCGTGGCAGGTGTGGAGGGTGGAGGGTTTGATTTTGCTCCTCCCAAATATTTTTTGATTTTCCCCAATTCAACTTTCAACCCTCCACACCCTCCAAACCCTCCACACCCTCCACACAACCCCTTTCTCTATTACCATTTCACTCTTCAAATATATGTGGAAGGTTTGTGGAGGGTTCCTTTTATTGTGGAGGGTTTATGCTTACCTTTAATCTCTCTCTCTAGTTCTGGTCTTATAATATAATTGGCTATTTTATCCTCTTCTAATAGTAAATACACCATTTACCTTTTATTATAAATTGATTTTAACTTTTGGTTTATTATTGTCACCCACCACTGGCCCATATTTATTTATTTCTTTTCTCTCCAAAAATCAAAATGAATAAAGATATCTATATGAAACAATACAGAAAATATAAACGTGATTATATTAACTATATACAGGACATTCTTCTTAAAATACTACGCGATGATAAAGCATTATCCACGCTTTTAAATGCTAATCTTATTACTCAAGATGATATAGAATACCTTAAAACGCATAAAGAAACCGCTAGAGCTTTAAAACAGACTTCTGGAATATTGATAATACATAACCCTGTCAAACTAATATTTTAATATTTTAATTAATAAAATAGACATGGCATGTAATAACCAAAAGGAGAATATATATCAATACATAGGCAATAACAATCAAACCACATTGCAGCCTGAATTAGATGCCATTAATGCTGATATTACTGTTTTATATGGGAATGTAAATGTGCTCAATGATGAGGTCACACTCCTATTTCAACAAACAAACGCTCTTGAAATTAAAACCATTGAAACTAGCAATAACTTGATTGAAACTAATGATTTGCTAATAGAAACTAGTAATTACTTGATAGAAACAAACGATATCTTATTTAATACATCAAATGATGTTCTTGATTTACAGACACTTATAAAATTTATACCAGACACTAATGAAACTGTAATTACAAACAATGATAGAAATATATTATATGTCAAATATCAGACTAACCCTAATAAATATATCATTAAATTCACACTTGAAAATGGTTCATTTATTACAATTCAACAGATTAAACAACAATTAGATGATTTAAAAAATAATGCGGCAGCAAAAGAAACAGCTGATGCAGCTGATGCTTTGGAAAATATTGATGAAACTGCAGACAATGGCTTTAATTTATTTAGTGGTTTAGGTGAAATTATAAAAGGAGGTCTCGCAATTGGTACGGGCTTTATCGGTGGCCTTATCGCATCTGGAACAAGCACATCAAAGGCTGATGGCCTATTTATTCTCTCATGGATTAATATTTTACGATTATCATTGGGTGTTGTTATATCGGTTCTTGAAGATGAGGTTATAAATACTAAATTACAAGGTAGAGTTATTAAAATATATTCTAGGAATCTTACAGATGGTCAAAAGCTTGATTTAGTCCCTAATCAGGCATTTATATATGACGACACTTATAAAACCCTTGTCATTGATGGACAAGAACAAACAGTTTTAGACGAAAGAAATATTCTTTTTCAAGGTGAAGAAGTAATAACATTAGGCAATGAATTGACACAACAAGAATTGGATGAATATATTTTTGGGATTAATAATGAAAACCTTAAAGAATACAAGATTGTATTTAAAGGAAAAACTTTTTTTATTGATGATGTTATCATACCTAATGTCTATAACAAATATGAGACAGATTTATCCATTAAAAATACATCTAACATATTATATGATTACATATATGAAGAGTCTAATATACTATTTGACCATATATTGACTGAGTCTAATATACTATATGACAAAATATATGAACAGTCAAATGTATTATACAATCACATAAGAACAAAACATACAGCTAGCACACTTATAAATGATGTCAATCCAGGGTTTATAGGCAACCTTTATTTTAATGATAATCAAGAATGGGAATTATCAACCGATTTTTACACAAGACAACAGGGATTGGATACATTTCTATCATATCAAAATCTGGCAAGCTCTAACTTTCTTAAAACTGATGTCTATACAAGTTATCTCAATAGCTCTAATTTCCTTAAAACGGATACCTACACAAACTTTATCAATAGCTCAAATTATGTCAATCAAACCCAAATGGCAAATCAATTTGCTCTAATTGGCGAATCATTCACAACAAAAAAGCTTACTGTTACGGGTCCTGATAGTCTATATATAGCCGATATCTTCCTTAAATTACAGGGAAATCAATTGATACCACCAAATCTTATTAAAAATCAATTGAATGATACATACACAGTCACTTATGATAATTGGGACTTTTGGAGTGGTGGTTCTCCCTATGAAACAGTGCCAACATATCCAGCACAAGATAGGGAATGGGTAAGGTATTCTTTCGCTAATAGAACAACTGCCATCCCAGACAATTTTTATATCGAATGTTTTGACATTAGTTTTACGAATAAATTCTCTATCTATTTTTATTATCAATTTATACCTAGTACAAATGTTATGAACCGCAAATATTACAGCGGCAAATACAATCTTTTCAATTACTATTTAGGTGGTTTAACAACCGAGAATATACCTAATAATAGAGGGTTTATTTGTTATCTAGATTATCAACTCATAGGCCAGATGGCTCGTTAAATTTTCCCAACATATTTTTTGATTTAGGGTTTGAAATATTTTAAAAAAAAACAAACAATTTTTTAGGGGAATTTCCCCCCCCCCCCCCCCCCCCCGCCGGGGGCCCGGCCAGGCTGCGGGCCGCTACTACTCAGCGCCAGTAGTAGTACTAGCGGCTAGTAGTATTTTACTGTTAAAACTTCACTTTGGACTGAGTAAAGGAGTACTCAGTTAAGTTTGGGGGACAGCAGTTGGCGGGCCCGATGATTAGGTTTGGTTCTCGCTGTCTTTTTCCTCGTACTGATTTTTAACTTAACTTTGAGTGAACTCAGGTAGCGTTCCTGAGGTAGAGTTTTTACTTTGCCCTGAGTAATAGTGAAACTACAGGTAGAAAAGGTCCGACGGTCGACTCGGACACGGTTTTTACTCAACTTGTGACTTGATTTTTAAAAATCAGATTACTCAAAGTTAAGTCAGTCAGCAGTGGAGACTGAACTTTGAGTAAAGGACCGAAGTTTTGGGTACAGGCTACGGTGCTCACTGAGTCAGAGTTATTAGTCACTGAGTACTACCCCGGCCCCGGTCACGTAACTCCGGGCCCGCCGGAACTTCCGAACTGGGCCCGCCCGGCGGCTGGCCGGAAAACCTCCGGGACTGCACATTTGAAAAAATGGCGCGCTTAGAAAGCTGTACAGGCGTTGCA